AAATAAATCCTTTCCTCCCCAAGTTGCTTTTGATCAGGACATTTCGTCACAGCAAACGGAAATGAAGCTGCGATGGCCTTGACCCCGCCATCTTGACCCTGCCTTCTTGACCCCGCCGTCTTGACCCCGCCGTCTTGGAGGAAGATCGAGAATTACAAGCTGAAATAAGCCCTCTCCTCCCCACGGCGCCTTTGGTCAGAGGGTTTGATCACATGAACAGGAAGCAGCAATGGGGTGCTGTTGTTACTCAGGCTATGTCCAAGTATTGAGCATTGAGAGAAAGTTCAGCATTGAGAGAAAACCTGAAGCATTGCTGGATGCTCGTATTTTGACTCTTCTCATCGATGCCCAAATCCCCAAACCACTGTGACCCCTATAGAAGCTCCCCAACATTTCCAAATGTCTTTATGGGAAATGTACAACTCCCAGCTGAGACCCCCTGACATATTGCTATACTTGTCATGAATTTATGATTGAGTGAGACTGGAAAACAGCCAGGACAGGACATCACAAGACACCTCAAATCCTGCACGTCCGTGGCAGGATTGGATGATTTTTTATGGTTTGCATATGGTATCTCATCAACTCTTAAGTTGGAATTTAGGCCCCACTGTGAGCTATCAAGAGGCTGTATGTTCAGACACTGAGAGAAACAATTAACAAATGAAACCTCCTGGAACTGAGAAGCTTCTGTAAAGCAAAGAACATGGTCAACAAGACAAAACGACAGCCTACAGAATGGGAAAGATCTTTGCCAACCCCACATCGGACAGAGGTCTGATCTCCAAAATATACAAAGAACTCAAGAAATTGGACACCAAAAGAACAAATAATCCAGGAAAAAAATGGAGTACAGACCTAAACAGAGAACTCTCAACAGAGGAATCTAAAATGGCTGAAAGACACTTAAAGAAATGTTCAACATCCTAGTCATCAGAGATTTGCAAATCAAAACCACTCTGAAATTCCATCTTACACCTATCAGAATGGCTAAGATCAAAAACACCAATGATAGCTTGTGCTGGAGAGGATATGGGGTAAAAGGAACACTTCTGAATTGCTGGTGGGAGTGCAAACTGGTACAGCCACTTTGGATATCAGTATGGCAATTTCTCAGAACATTAGGAAACAACCTTCCTCAAGACCCTGCAATACCACTTTTGGATATACCCAAAGGATGCTCAATTATACCACAAGGACATGTGCTCAACTATGTTCATAGCAGCATTGTTTGTCATATCCAGAACCTGAAAGCAACCCAAAAGTCCCTCAACTGAATGGATCAAGAAGATGCGGTACATTTACACAATGGAGTACTACACAGCGGGAAAAAATAATGATATCTTGTGGGCAAATGGATGGATCTAAAAAACATCATATTGAGTGAGGTAACACAGACCCAGAAAGACAAATATCATATGTACTCACTCATAAGTGGCTTTTAGAAATAAAGCAAAGAAAACCCAGCCTACAATTCACAACCCCAGAGAACCTTGACAACAAACAGGACCCGGAAAGAGACATACATGGATCTAATCTATATGGGAATTAGAAAAAGGCAAGATCTCCTGAGTAAATTGGGAGTGTGGGGATCATGGGAGAAGGGAGAAGGGGAAGGGGGAGGAAGGGAGGGCAGTGGAGAAAAATATATAGCTCTATAAAAACAACTGAAAAAAATAAAAAAGTGGTTGTGCTTTCAGAAGGCAAACAGGGTATTACCCTCATGAATAAACCCCGTCATATGATCGATATACTGACGTGTTCATGGAAATGGTGAGATTGGGTTTACAAGAAAGCCGATTTGTCCGGGTCTTTCTCACTTTTCCCACTCTCATGATGTCATGCCAGCCGTAAAGTCGTTGCTAGACAAGGACCTTTGAACAAATAAAATTCCCCTCTCTCCTCTCAACAACGTTACAACACTCAGATGCTCTCCTTCCTCTGCACATCTCTTTCCCTTTGCCCGTTGGAATCATCCTCATGAAATTTATCAATCCTGTCTGTGTTTACGCTTCTTGAATGAGCAATTGCTTCCGATACTTTAGAGAATACACAATAGCAAGCAAGTAGGAGTTTAGATTTTTACCTTCAATTGTTTCATATTCTGCTTGTTTCCATATGTAGCCTGCGATGCCTCCAGACACCAAACCTACCTACCCATCTATGACATGACTGTTACACATACCCAACACAATGCTGCAGGCTCTACAAGATTGGCAGATATATTTTGTCTCATCCATATGACTCTACTACTCAGTGTTAAACAGCATACACAAGGCAGGTGCCATGGCATGGACCTGTCAACCCAGCAACTCAAGAGGTGGAGGCGGGAGGCTCATATTCAAAGCTAGTCTGGACTCTAAAGTGAAACTTTGTCTCAAAACAGCACCACCAGCCTAGCTACCTACAAACCCCAAGTCTGAAACAAAAAACAACAAAACTACCGCTGGCAAGATGGGTAGCTGGTGAAGCAGGTGCCACACAAGGCTGAAGACCAGAGTTCAACCCCCAGAACCCACGAAAAGGTGGGAGGGAGAGAAGCAACTCCACACAGTTGTCCACTGACCTCTTCCCCTCCCATATCACAGGCACAGGCACCCACACAACAAAGAAAAGCAAAATTAAATTAAAACCCTCAGCTGAAGCAAACAACAGCAGCACACACCAACATCCCATCCCCACTTTTCAGATCAACAACCAAAGTGTTTTTTTTTTTTTTCTAAGTATGGAACTTTGCTACAGCCTTCTGACAGTCAATGCTATCATGCTGTTAAGCTCTGGAGAAAAGCTTGGGAAGTGGTGGGACTAAGAGAGGCTTCCTTCCATCCCAAGCCTCAGCTCCAGCTCCCAGCTGCAGCACTAGCAGCCAGCCTGTCACCACCAGCTGGTGGCTGAGTTCCCACCAGACCAGCGAGAGGGAAAGCCTCTGTAGGGGTTTCCCCAAAGTGGCACCCGGAAGGGCAAATTACCTGCTTCACGAATAAACCAGGATGGAATGTGGGCACTGGTGCCAGCCTGAGAGGCTGCTGCTGGGAGAGTCTGGCAGCCTACAACTCCTCCAGCCTCTAGGAAAATAAAAACAAAACCCCAAACCAACCCAGGATCAGATACCCAGGGAGAGGAAGGAAGTGGGGAAGTCAGCTGGTTGGTCCTACTGAAAGGATGTGATAAATTCAACTTCCCGGACTTTGAAACAGGAGCAAACGGACACGTGAATCCTTTAACATCTAATTCTTCGCCCATACCTTCGTTTTGTAATATTTCCTAAGTTTATCCGTGTGTCAGAGCCTCTTGTGACTGCTTCTGCAGAACCCACTAATAAACATGGTAAATATCTCCGACCTCACAGAGCTGGCAGTTTGTGTAACGAGGAGACACAAGGCAGCAGATATAGTAAAAAATAAAGGGGCAGTGAGATTGTCCAGCCAGCAAAGGCGCCTGCTATGCAAGCCTGGCGACCCAAGTCCCATCCCCAGAACTCACCTAAAAGGTGAGTTGTCCTTTGACCTCTGACCTCCACTCATGCGCTGTATGTGCTTTCCCCCAGATCAAACCTTAAAAATCTTAAACACAATATTAGGTGAAGAGAAGGATCTCGCTCTGGAAGCGAAAGGGAAGGGGCACCTACAGCTTGGTGGGGGAGGGGGTGTTTTTTGTTTTACACTTATAGCCAGGTCTCATGAAGTAACATTTGAATAAGGAAATTATTATTATTATTATTAGTATTATTGATATTAGTATTGTGATGCTGGGCACCATTCTAGGTATGTCACAGTTATCTCATTAATACTTACAATCACCCTGAAATATAGCTATGATAATCCCCGTTTTACAAAGAAACCTAGGTTTAGAGATCCGCACCCATTTCTGGTCACCTTAGGACTAACAAGTGGTGTGACTGGGATTTGAACCAAGCCAAAAACTGCAGCGACTGCGCACTTGCACGCTGGTGCAGTCAGCCAGGTTTGGGGAAGGTCAGTGAGTAGGTATAAATGGAATCCCTGCTGTGCCCAGGTTAGATTTTACAGGTGGCCGACCTTAGCCCAGCTGAGTCCCGCCTTGGGTGGGAGTTGCAATGGCTACCTGAAGGAGAAGTGGGCCTTATGGGGGAGGGAGCACGGAACTGCTGGGGTTGTCCCGGGACAGCAGCGGGACAGCGTCTGTGTGAATTTCACCTGCCACCACCGGGACCAGCTGCTCTAGTCAATAAGGGAGGATCTGGTTCTTGGGAGCATTGAAGAGGGCAACAGAGCTGAGCCCCAGAGTGCAGCTTCATGGAGGAGTCCCCAAGTGCACTGGCTGGGGGCTCTGGGCACAGGACAGAGTGGTGGAGGGGTTCCTGGGAATAGTGCGACAAGGTCCCTGTGCAGCAAAGTGGGGACAATCTAGGACAAACTGAGGGAGAATAAAGAGCAAGCCGCCTTTTTCCTCGTGAAAGGAGAGCAAGGCATAGTCAAGAAAGTCCTGTGGAAATGTCCGGGTGACAACTTCCAGAGAGCTGGAAAACAGGTGCCAGAGAGAGGCAAGGGAGGGGTGCTGGGTGCAGGAAGAAACAGAAGGAACTTTGACCCTACAGAAAGCATTCTGGGCAAAGTGGGGCAAGTTCAGGGAGGACCCCATGGAGGCGGAGCCCAACAAAGAAAAAGAACTTGCCTAACAAAGGGCAACTTTGGGGGCTTAGAGGGCAGGGGCACCAGTGTGGTCAAGCCCGAGACATACAGCCTGCTAGCTCAGAGCGTAGGGCACCCTTGGTGAGGTCCTAGGAAAACAGTTGGGGATAGGGAACTTGGAGAGGGAGCGCGGGGCAAGCGAGCGCAAAGTTGTTTCTGCCTCCCGCCCGAAGGCTTGGCTAGATTCTGTGCTGCGGAGGCTGATAATATTGAGCAGAAGAAAGGCAAGGAAGAGGTGTGTACACCAAAACCCAGCACAGAAAAGTCCATGAGAGACCGCGCCACCAGGATCTTTCCATTGCAGCTGCTTTTGATATCAACCCCACTTACCATGATTGCGAAGACCAAAGCCACGATATTGACTGGGTACGCTGGGCAAAAACACGCGACAATGGTGAGCCACAGATAGTTCTTGGGTGTAGGAATGTCCTCTTCGGTCTTCTCATCTTCCGTGTTGGCTTCGGGGCTGCTGCTGTCCAATGCTCCCTTGGAATCTATGCGGGACACATACTGGGACATGGGCGAAGTCGCTGGTGACACCGGGAGGGAAGAGGAGCGCGAAGTTCGCGCAAGGTGAGGCTGTGGCTGTCGGCTCATGGTGAGCTGACGCTCTTGAAAAGCTTGTAGCTCCAGCCTCAAGGGAGATGTGACTGCACTCCTCTCGCGTAGGTCGGTTCTTTGCCTGTACCCGGCTGGGCTCAGGGACCTAGGCCAAGAGCCTCCCCAGAAAGAAGGAGGGAGGGAGAAAGCAGGGAAAGGAGGCGGGGGGGGGGCGGGAGGAACGACGGGCGCGGGG